GCCCGTGAGGATTTTGGGTGGGGGTATGTGGAGTCCCATGCCCCCCTCTCCACCCCTGACGCAGGACCGGCCGAACGCCCCACGAGCACCGACCCGTACGGGTCCCTCTAACCTTACACCCCACTTCCGGAAGAGATCATCGCGACCGACTGTTCCAGCATCGATTCCTCCGGAAGGGCCGACCCCCCAAAGTACACGCCGCATCAGGGCCCCTCGACGTACCTCGTTGAGGACGCCGGCCTCGAGATCCCAGGGGAATCCCCGCGATCAGACACGCCGCCTCGTAGGAGCGGTGTGACGCCCGTGCAGCCCCTGCGCGATGGCGCGCTGGCGGAAAAAAGGCCAGCGGGGGCCCATATTTGCCGGGCTAGGGCTTCCGCCCATATGGGCGCTCCGTAAGCGCCTTGGAGCGCCCCACTCCCCATAAACGCGGCAGGAGACCCCGGTCCTCCGCTGTTGGGGAGAGACGCGGGGCCCTTTCCCGGCAAATGCCGCAGCTTCGGTGCCAATTGCCGGGAAATCTCCTCGAAACGCCACCGACTGTCGAGAAAGAGCCCGAAATTTCACTGTTCCCCGACAGCGAGGGGATCCGCCCCCCCCACAATCGCCTTCTGGGCGGCGTCTGCCCCAGGCCGTGGGAAAAAAAGGGCCCCAGCTTCCCTCCAGCGCGACTGTTAAAACCGAGCGCCCCATCGAACGCACTCATGAGCGACCCTGCCGTGCGAGTACGGCGGCTCGCGGGGGAATTTTGGGGCCCCCGGTGATGGGGATCCTCGGCCCTAACAAAATACCCGACTCCCCCCAAATTGCACCGCGCAGGGCCCAATCTAGCCTACGTTCCCCAGGAGGGCCCAAGACCGACCCCTGTGGAACGCCACAAAACATTCCCTGCGGCCCCCCCGGCCCCGACTCCACGGGTCCCCCGGGGGCCCAGGGGGGGGCCAAGGCCCGGCCCCGGGGGCCACCAAGGGGCCCGGCCCCGGGACCCGGCCAAGGCGCCGGCCCCCGGACCGGCTAAGGCGCCGGCCCGACTAAAGCGGCGAAGGGCGGAGTGGGTTTCCCTCCCCTCCCCGCTCCGACAAACCGCCGGGCCCCCCCGCACCTGCCCCTCCAAGAGGGTTGGGGAGGAGGCAGGGCTCAAAAAAGCCCGAAGGGGGCTGAAGGGGCTGCTCAGAAAGCAGCCCAAGCCCAGCCTTGCCACCGGTGGGAACGGCCTCAAAAAAAAAGGCCGCGAAGTGCAGCCGCCCAAAAAACCCGGCTGATCGTGACGCTGCGCCGGAGGGGGCCCTGGCGGGCTCACTAGCGGCCCCTCTTCAAGGGGCCCGGCCCCGGGCTCGCCCTGAGTTCGGGGGCGGGGAGAGGGTCGCCGCGCCCAGACGGGAGCTCGGGGTTTTTTCCCTGGGGTGAAGGCGCGGGGGACGGCCACAAAAATTTGCCGAGAAGTTGCGGGGGGAATTTTTTGCCGCCACGGACGGGTTAAGATGCCCGGGCCCCCCAAAAAGGCAAACGCCATCCGGCCTGGACGACTCCAATCAGTCGGAGGGGTGTCCGCGATCATCATGGAGAAGACTGGGGGCACCGCGGACCCATCAAGTCGGGACCGTCCGTCCGGGCCCGGGAGGCCCGGTGCGGTGTGGGTGAGCTGTCCCGGGCGCGGCCAAGCAAATGGGCGCCCGGAAAACAATTCTCGCGGCTTCGTAAAAGCCCGAATCACGGGTTTGGCCGCGGGCCGATGAGGGGCTTCAAATGCCTAGCCGCGGGGGCCCCTCGCACTAAAATGCGGAAACTGCTTTGACTGCAGCGGTTTATGTTTCCGCTGCGGTCAACCCGGGACAAAGGCGGGGAGAGTGCTCTGCTGCCCCTCACGCCCCGTGTGTGCGGCCGGGCCCCAAAAACCCCCCAATCACCAATGGGGCAGGGGGGCTGCAGGCCTCCCCGCGCTTTTCCCCGGCAAACGCCGGGGGCTAGCCGCCGACCCAGGTAAAAACCCCCGACGTCAAAATTTCGTCGACCCGACGCCTATGGAGGAGTTGTAGAGACGATCCGTAAGGATCCGTCTCCACCTCCTGGTCCAGACGAATCTGAACCCTGTGCTGGGCGCAGGATCTCTTCCGCAAACCATGGGCCCCGGGTGATAGGGGTTGCCGGGTCGCGGGGCCCTATTTTTTCCCTCCCCGCCCAAACGGGATGGGTTTGGCCGGGACGGCTCCGTGGCAGTCGTCCCGGCTCCACGGGGCTCCTTTCCCCGCCCTTGTCGTAAGAGACAAGGGGACTGGATATTTCCGCCGATTGGGGGGGGAATCACCATTTTGGTGTTTTTTCTCCCCCCAAAAAACCCGGGGCTTTAACGACTTCGAGGTCTTTTTTTTTCCTTAACAACTTGGGGCCTCGTGCGGGACTAGGTCTGGGCACGTCCTCGTGCTGGGGGCTTTTAACGCAAAATCCCTTCGTGGGGTTCCCCTCGCGGAAAAGCCGGGGCGAAGCCGTCCCAGGAGTGGGGGGCCCCCGGTGGGCCTCTGTTTGCTAACAGGGGCTCCACAACACGTGCGTGCACAGCGGGGGGGGTCGATAGTGGGGCCTTTCGTTCCCTACCCCTTCAGTCGCCCACGTAAACTGGTCTGTCCGGAAGAGGGCGAGACGCTCTGGGTCATTTGTACATCCGTTCGGCTCTCCCGGTCCCAACCCCAGTAGGGGGCACGCGGCGCGGGCCCTTTTCCCCCTTCCCCGGTGGGGTATCCCAACCGACAGGGCCTCTGAGGAGGCGGCATTATTTTCTGGCTGTCTCCGCAGGCCCCGACCGAGGAGGTCGACATGGGGCTGGTCGCTTTTTGAAAGCGATTACGCGATTTTCGATGCGGCCACCCCGCTTTCGTGGTTGTCGGGCCCCCAAGGAAGGGGTCTACTGGGGGTCCCCGGGGTTGGGGACCTCCGGCGGCCTGTGTTTGCCGGAGGTCCCTCACCCTAGTCGGCGACGTCACCGCGGGGGGCGGTTTAGGAGGTGGACCGGTTCATGAGAAGTACCGAGAACTCGGAAAACTCTGAGGCGGCCATCTGCCCCCGGCCCAAGGATGCGTGTAGAGAGGAATGTGGAGAGTCTCGAGCGTGGGCCCCCCGGGTCGCCCTTACGTGGGGGTGGTCAAAAACTCCGCAGTCGGGCCCCCCCCCTTTCGGGACTTCCAGCCCAGCTTCCTTTTCAGGAAATGGTCGAGGGCCTTTTCCCCACGGGCGGAGCACAAACCCCCGTCAGGCTGCTCAGCGGAGACGACGGGGGCACGGGGTCGATGTTCCCCCCGCAGGAACGGAGTTGGGGGGGGGGAGGTTTTTTTTTTTTTTTTTTTTTTTTTTTTTTTGGATCAAGTGATTTACAACTAAACTTGTTTTATAGTATGGAGGACTTTTTGCAGTCCTTTCCAAGAACATCGAACTTTATCCTATTTTTACATCATTTACGAGTAATATATTCATCTTACACGCAATTTTTTGTACCTGATAGCATTTCATCAATTTTAAAAATTAAACTCGTGAAGTTAGCTCAAAACTGAGTCAAATTTTCCCGACCCAAAGAATTGATTATTAAACTATAATATCATTTTACAATTTTAACACTTACCCCAAATCATTAATCATAATTAAACCGACAATCGAAATAAACTAATAGGATTAATAAAATCATATATTATTTGAGTCGCATGAACCCACCCCCACAATTAAACTTAATAAAAAATGGTCAAGTTGATTATAATCAATAAATATCAAAATCCAAAAAAATTCGAATCAAAAAAATCTAAATAAATTAAATCACACAGTAAAAAGAAATCAAATTTTTAAATCCGGGAAAAATCAAATCAATGAATTCCAAAACGAAAAGAATGAAAAGACTAAATAAATTTCTTTTGTCAAAATTTTTACAATTTAACTCGATAAAATTATTGAATCGATTTTTGGTAAAATGATCAAAAATTTAAAAATTCCAAATTAAAAAATCAATGCTATTAAATTACAACAATATTTAAACAATGAATTACCAACAAATTAAAAAATTTAAAACCAAATCAAAATTAAAATTTAAAATTTAAAACAATTGAATCGAATTTTCCCCAAAACATTTTGCCATCACCCTTTCGACCCATTTGCTCTGGCCGCATTTTCATAATTTTGGAGCCGTAGCTCAACAACCACCCCCCTTTGCTTCATTTGGGCCCCATGATCTCAGCCAGATTGCTCTCGCTGAGTTTGGGTTCCCATGCGCTTCGCCCCCAAGTCGTGTCCGTAGGGCCGCGAATCTCGGGCCAGTGAAATTGGGATTGCTCTACTGTCCCGGCAGTCACGCCATCCAAATGCACCCCGGAATCCGCAAGTTAAATCTGTAAAGGTACGCTCTGATGCCCCCCATGCCGGTCAAAAGCTGTGTCATTAATTGTTGGTTGTGGCACCAAAGATTTTTACGGGCCCTCCGAACATCCCCGAGAAAGAGACGCGTTATCCTCCCATTGTGGACTCCACATATTTTCTGCTGGCCACTCATTATCTTGCAGCTCTGATAAGGCGCTTCGCCGCGGATATTGGGAAGTCCGGGGTACACTGGGCTCTTTGTCCCTTTAGGGCCCCCTCCTTGGCGGTTCGTCGGCCCTCTCATTCCCCGGCATCCGACGTGTGCCTTAACCCGACCTACTGGACTTCAACCCCCTCGTCCCGTAGTTCAGCGAGCTTGCCCTTAATTTTGTTGGTGATTGGGTGAAGGGAGGCGGGATCCGCCAAGGGTTTCAAGGGCCGATCTCGAGTCGCTCAGGATGCATATTTTTCTCGTGCCTATGTGATTTGCGGGCCATCGTTGAGGGCTCTATCTATGGCCACTAGTTCCGCTGAAACACGCTGCAGTGATCAGAGAGCCCTTGAAACGAGCATCCCTGACCTCCTGTCCTCCACGCCATAATGGTCACCTCCGCCCCCAACGCGGCCCTCTATTTTGCTTCCTTTCTGTGTATATTTGCTTTCCATCCTTATCCAGCTGCCCCAGGTCCGCCACCGAGGGACGCCCGCAGGTAGGCGAGCCCCCCCCTCAGTGCGGGATGGGGCAAATCGAACGGGCCGATACGCCTTTCCATGTCGTAGTCACGCAGTTTCAGGCAGAGGCCGCCCCCTCCGGACCCCTTTACAGTTTGAGCTGTTCTTGTGCTCTCAGGTCGAGAGGGAGTATTCCTGAAAGGCAGCTGCCGATGTGAACGAGGTGGTCCGGTGAGCCTTTGAGATGAGGATTGCAAATTGTCTTGCCGTTCTCTCCAGTATCACCCGGTTATATTTCTTTTTGGCGGCCTCTGCCCATACGTTGGCGGCATACAGGACTGTCGGCTCAACCACGGTTTTGGTAGTTTATCCTCAGCACGTTGGAGTTTAAACCCCACCCCGCCGAGGCCGTTCTCGCGACCCTTTTATAAAGCGTTACCGCTCTCCCGCGTGCGCCCGCCAAATGCTCCCTAAAATTAAGCTGGTGGTCTACCTTTGAGCCCCAGGACCTTGAGGGACCCCCGGAACCGGATGTTGTGGCCGTTTAGCGTCAATTGCGGTCCCTTTTGGGCCTTTTAGTTTCCCGCGTGGTGAGGACAGCTTGAGTTTTGTGGGCAGCAAATCGCACTTGTAGCTGTTTCCCCAACTCGCGACGGCGTCCAGTGCCTCCTGGGCGTTTAAGCGAACCTCCTCCGTGGTCCCCCCCCGAAGCGACAACCAGAATGTCTCGGGAACGCCCCTGAACGTGGGCCTTCAGGTGCTAAAGCGGCTTAAGCAGCGGATCAGCTGTACGTTCCATAGGAGGGGGACCACAGGTCGATCCCTGTATGCATCCTTTATTGGTTGCTGTTTGTAACCGTGTGTCCCGGGGTATTGCACGGTCACCTCCCTGTCGCTGAGGTAGCTGAACAACAGCCTTAGGGTTGAGGTTTCAACTCCCCTTTCCTCAAGAGCACTCCCAACACTCCGGGCCACCGGGCCCGTTATCAAAGGCCCCCCGATGTCCAGGGAGATGCCCGACCACAAGTTTCCCCTGCGCCCTGAGTGCCCAAACCCATGTTCACCGCCTCGTATAGAGCGTCCTCCGTGCTGCGCTGGGGCATGAATCCAAATTGCCTGGGCTCAGCCTAGACTTGCTTCCCCCCGTGTCCATAGCATTCTCGTCGCAAAGGGGCTTCTCCAGGGAATTTTCCAAGTACCGGCAATAGTCCAATGGGTCTATAGGATTTTGGCTCCGTGTAAGTTTCTTTGCCGGGCTTGGAATGATGCGGATAATTGCTCTCTTCCATAGGCGTGGAAAGTGGCCCAGCCCCAGACAGGCATTGAACAAGGACAGCATAAGTGCCGGGTTCCCCTGCATCACTCTCGAACAGATGTCCGAGGTGAAAGCCATCCTCCCCCGGGGCCTTCCTCGGTTCATCCTCCCCAACACCGTCCAAAACCTCCGCCACGGTAAAGTTTGTGAGTTCGATTGGCCTTTCATTTATGAACTTGAATGCTGCGCAACTTTGGCTCTGCACTCTCGCTGTTCCGAGGTGTCGGTCTCCTCCGTGTCCCTCGGATAAAAAGTTTCCGCTAACAGCTGCGCCGATGCGATGTGAGTTTTGTGTAGTGCCCCGGGCAGCAGGGTCCCTCAACAGCTCGTCTGATTTTTATCGCCCCGCATTTACGGATGACTCTGTAAATGCCCTCCCACACTGACTCCTTTTCCTGTTTTGCCGCAGAATTTCCCCCCAGCTTCTTGTGATAGCTTCCTGGATAGCTTCCTTGTAGGCCCTTTTCGCCTCCAGGTATCGATCGACTACGTACTGTCGTCGCTCAGAGCTTGCGTTTCTTATTGCTCCTCAGCCTGTTCACTGTTTTCTTCTTATCTTCGATCTCAGGAGCCCACCAACTCGCTTGGGCCGTCGCCCCCCCCGCTCGACATTGCAGGAATCGCCACCCTGCAGGCCTCCTAATACAGCCGCGTGAGTGATTCCACCAATTCCTCCAAATCTTCCGACGTCAGACCGTCCTCGCTTCTCAGGGGTCAGTCCACGCTCGTCCCAGGTTTGCAGTCAGCTCGTCATCCAAAAAGCTCCCAGTCCGCCTTTTAGTGTTGAATAGCTTGGTTGATGTATTTTGGAGCACAGTGAGTTCTTTATCTGCCGATACGCAAAAGAAATGGGGCGGTGGTCTGAGAGGTCCGACAAGTCAGCGTCCACCTTCCAGTTAGTGATCCTTGGTGGGTAGTCGGTCCGACGCCATGGTAACGTCTATTATGCTTTTTGTAGTTGGGGACCCTGTCGAAACGCCGAGAACGTAGGCGTGGTTCCCTCATTTATCACCTGGGGTGACTCCTGCGCCGCAAACTCCGCCCGCGACGCCCCTCTGCTATCCTCCTCCTCGCTGCCCCACCAGGGACTTTTGGCATTCACGTCTCCACGACAGCCAGTAATCATATCCGCAGCGCGGCCTTAATGGTCTTAGTTTGGAAGGTCCTCGTCCAAGCTGGAGTCCCCCTCCAAGTAAACGCTCACGGCGCCCACGCACAGGCCCTCAATAAAGATCCTGATCCCTACCATGTTGTAAGCAGCCAACCCCGGGCTCCAGGGACGCGGGAAAGTCGGTCGCCGAGTACTCCCAAACCGGGGCCCCTTAGATGGTTCGTTCCCCCACCCCCCTTTAAATACCTGGGCCCCTTTGACACCTCCACTTTTTTTTTGGGCCCTACGTAGGGTTTTGTAATAGCAGGAGGGATATACCCCCCCTCGGGGCTTTTTTCTCAACAAGTCTTTAGTGGCTGCGAATCCCCCGCCCCAGTTTCCCGCCGGGTACGACCGTTTTCATGCCCCCGGGGTCCCTTTTTAAGCAGTACCCTGACTGGGTTGAAAAAGCTATTCTGCCCCCACTTCCTCCAGATCGGGCTTTTGGGCTGGGGGGGTTTTGCCGGATGCGGGGACCCTTTTCCCCACAATTTGCGCATTGGGGACCTTTTGGTTACTGCGGGTACGGGTTTTCGGGTGTCTTTGGTTCCGGAGCAGTAGCCACGGGTTTGGGGAGTTTTCCCCCGGCTTTCAGTGGCCCCGGTGCCCAAATCCCAAGAAACGGTAGCACGGGATACCGGGGCCCTGGTCAAACTGGGGGAAAAACCATTGATACCCAATGCCCCACCTTTCCCCCTTTGGGGGGCCCTCCATACCTGGGGGCTTACCCCCATTATGACCGAAATTTTTTTCCCCCGTTTTTAACCCAAAAACCCCTACGGACCCCCCTGGCACTCCTTGCTGTTTGGGGACTTCTGCGGAGGCCGCTGTTCTGGCTCAATATCGCCGTGCCATCTTTTCGCGCTAAGGTGATGGGGCGACCCCGATCAGCCCGCAAGTTTGGTTTTTTTTTCGGGGCCCTTTTTTTTCCACCCGAGAGCCCCAGTTTTGGGACGTCGATGGCACTCAAAGAGAAAGGGAACGCTCCTCCCCCCCCGCGAAAGTCGGGCGCCCCCCCTTGCCCCTCCCTTCTTTTCCCCGGGAGCCCCTTTACCCCCACCCCGAGAGAAAACACGTCCAGCCCCTTTTTCCCAGGGGTTTCGATGACTCTCCACCCGGAGTGCTGTGGGTTGATGGGACCCCACAATGAGGCCAAAACAAAAAAGGGCGTCCTGGCCCGGTGGATCATCAACTGGCCCCGTGTCGGGGGTTTTGGGGAACCCCCTGAGAAACCCCGGGCTAGGTTCGCACCGTCTCTCCATCTCCAAGGTAGACCTGCCAGGTCGTCGACCCTTGGGATTAAAGGGGGCCGATGGCGCCCCTAAACCACCCCCCGGGGTATCCAAAACGTGCCAGTCCGCCACGGGCCCCTCCCAGCGCAGGTGCTCTGGGGCTTTTGAGGATGAGATCCCTCACCTCCGCGACCCTAAAGACCTAAACCCGACCGCAGAAAGGTCCATCGCGGGCCCCTCCGTCAGCAAGCATGCCCCAAAGGGGCATCCTCCGGGGGAAGGGCGGCGACAGGGCCTGGTGCCTCTCGGGCCCCCTTGGTGTTTTGGGCCCCCGCTTCTCGTAGCTGGTTTTTAGTGTTTGGGTTTAGTTTCCCCCATCTTTTCCCCCGGGTTTTCCGGGCGCCTCAGGCATGGCAGGGTCCCCGCCCGGGAAACAGTCGCACCCGCCCCGGGCCCCGTGTCATCTCGTCCATCTCGAGGGGGCCACCTGTCCAAAATCGACTTTCAGGGCCCCCAAACTGGTCTGCAAAAATCCTGCCTTTTTTGACCCCAGAGAGAGCAAACCGGGTCCGGGCCCGGGGGGCCCGGGGGGGGTTCAAAGTCGGGGGAACCCCCGGGGGCCCCCCCCCCATCCCCCCCCAATCCGTGCTGGGGAAGGCCGGGCCCCGGGCCCTCACCCTCTGTAGTTTCCCGGTTTGGGTGCTCCCATGGAACTTAATGGGAGCATCCATCTCAAAATTTACCAAATTCTGAAACCCCCTTTTAAGAGGTCCACGTAGGGCCCCCCTATGAGGTTTTTTTGGGGTTTTTCCTGCCCCCTGTCTCCAGTCAGGCTGCCAAACTCGGCCAAACTTTCGAGCGTGGGCCCTCTCCACCCCAAAAAAGCTCCTTTGCCGCGCGGTGCGCTTTCCCCCTCCCGCGCCACCCCATGCCGGGGTTTTTGGAGTCTGCGATGCCCCGGGAAAAGTTTCATAGAGTGCTTGAAGGCCCCATTTCCTCGGCTTTGCCCTCCCCCCGCATATTTTTTTGCCTTCTCCAGGGCCCCCTTTCCATCCTGGGGATTTGTTTTTGCCCTATGGGGCCAAATCCATAGGGGACACCGGGCCGGAAAACTCCCCACGGGGGGCCCGCATGCTTGCTCCCCCCACTCCCTAGCTCTTGTTGCTGTCTGCATCGGAGAGAAACCCCTTTGGGGTCGCTATCATGCCCCCCGCACTAAATGGCGCCCGGGTCCCGCCGCGGGTCGGCCAATTTCCCCCTCGGGCCCCAAACTTCCCCAGGGCCCGTTTGGAAAAAGTCGCTTTCCCCCGTTTGGGCGGTCCCGGGGTTGCGGGGGGCTGGTATAGACCCCGAAATTCCAGCCTGCCCCGGGGTCCTCTTTGGGGTTTAGGGGCTCCGCACTTTAGGGATGGAGTTTCAAACCCCCCCCTGGCCGGTCCCCCGAAGAACCGGGCCCGGGGAAAGGGGGAAACTGGCTGATCCCCCCAAGAAAAAACCCCCGGGCAAGGTCCCGCCGGTTTCGCCTCCCCGGTGGTTTTTGGGGTTTTTGATGGTTTGGGAGCCTTGCGTAGGCTTCCCCACGCCGCTTAACCGATTTAGGGGCCTAGCCGGCCCCCGTCCGGGCCCCCCGTTCCGGCCCCCTCGCTGACTTTTTTTACAGCCCCCCGGGGGGGGGAGGGCGGGCCCCCTCCAAAAAACCCCCCCCGGCCCCGGAAGGGCCCCCGGGGACCGGAGCAGCGTCCCCTGTCGTTTTTTTCGACCTTTTTTTGGGTGAGGTCTCCCATTTGGGGTCTTAATAAAAAAAATTTAAAAAAAAACTAATAAAAAATTTTTTAAATATTGTGTACGAATGAGCCCCTGTCAAGTTAAGGGGAGGATATGTGGGGCGGTTTACACAGCAAAATACACGCTGAAAATAAATTTAAAAAAAAATATGTTTCACAAGAGAAAAAAAAAGAAAAATTTTGCCCCTTTTTTGGGTTCCCCCTGGCTCAGTCCGACAAAAACTATCTCTTTTGGGGGCCAATTTTTTCCCCCCAAAAATTTTTAACCCCCGATTTCCCAAAAAACCCCGGTTTTATACAGAGGGGCGCCAAGGCACCGGAAGAAACCCCGGGCCCCTGGGGGGACCGGGTTCCCAAGATTTAGGGGTGTTTAAAAATTTTTTAAAAAGGCCGGCCCGTTTTAAAAATTTTTGGGCGGCCGTCTCTCCGGGTCTAAACGCCCCGGGAAAAACTCGAGTTGGACTCCCCCCAAACCCCGACCTCCCCCACGCCCTGATGTGGGGTTTTTAGGCCCCGAAAAATTTTTTGGGGTTCCCATTGCCCTGAAATTTTGGAGGAGGTAGCCCCAAAGGGCCCCCCCGGAAACTTTAGGGAAAACCGCAAACTCGAAACTTTTAGCGGGGTTTTGGAGTTTGGGCCCTTTTGACCCTAAAACCCAAAATGGGCCCCCCAGCCGTCAAAACCCCCAAATTTGGAAGCCCGTTTCTCCCCAAAACCCCTGGTCGTAGAGAGTCCGGGTTTCCTCCCGGGCAGCTCAGAGTCCCCCCTCGGGTTCCCTTTCCAAAAATAGTTTTAGAACAAGAAAAGAAAAGTGGCTAATCTGGCCAAAAGTAACAATTGCCTAAAGGGGGGGTTTAGGGGACCAAAAAAAGCGAAAAAACCCCCAAACCCCCCCCGCGACCTTCCCGTCCGGGGTTTCGGTCAAAAATTTAAAAATTTTTAACTTAAAAACAAAAAAGGGGATTTTTTTCGAAATTTTTCCAAAATTTTAGTCCCCAGGAGCCCCCGATTTTTGGGGTTATACAGGTCCAAATGGAATAAAATTTGGACCCGGGGCCCCCCCCGGGCAGAATCGAGGGAAATTTCCCACCTGTTTTTAAATTTTAAATTTTCAAAAAAAAAAACAAAAAATCATGTATTTCCGGTTGGAAAAGATATAAAAAAAACAAAAAAAAATCTTTAAAAAAAAAAGTTCAAATAGCATCTACTAATGGCCCAGTGGGTCCTAAATTTTTTTTTTAAAAAAAAACACATAAAAAAAATTTTTTTCTAAAAAATTTTACTTTTTTTTAAATTTTGTACACATTTAAAAATTGTTCCCAAAAATTTT